GTGTGTGTGTGTGTGTGTGTGTGTGTGTGTGTGTGTGTGAGCTTCTCAAATAATAATGGGAATAATAAATAATAAAATTTGTGTTTCCAGATATCATTTAACAGCCATAATTCAATCTAAATGAAAGCATCAAACTGAATGCAAAATAAGGAAGGATACTCTCTGTTTACAACCTTCCCTTCTGTTATTTTATAATATTTGGTTGTACTATCCAGTAATAAATACTTCAGTTTTGTTGTGTAATGGTAAAAAGAGCAAGAGAGACAGATAAATCCTCACTAACTCCCTTCAATGATGATGGACATATTGTTTATTGATCAGTGTTTTTCACCGGGACAGGGAGGAGTTAGGTTCTGAACTGATGAGCCAACTAAATGAAGAAAAAAACTTGTAAATTCTGTGTTTCTACTCCAAGACTGGATGCAAATTGGATTTATTCACGGTTGTTACTTAGAATAAACTCAATCATTTACTTACAATCTAGGAGTGAAAGTAATAACACAGTGTATTTGTGGTAAAAGGTACAGGGACAAGTTACGTAAATGAATATCTTGCTAAACATTTCCTTTCACTGATTAAATTCTAATTAAATGGAGGCTGACACTGTAGCTAAGCTAACAAGTTGATAATCACACACTAATCTACCCACCTCTTTGAGAACAACTGGATAACAAAATAACACCCTTTTTTGCTGGTCATTTTATTTTTTCTCTTTCATTTTCTGAAATTCTGATTTTTATTATTTTTCTAAGCAACATGGTTCTCTAATTTTCTACTGACTGTGATACTTATGTTGCGTCCCAGTTGTCCTCGGAGGTCGGAGTTAAATGAACTTAAAGCTAAAAGTGTGGTTGCAGAAATATTCAGTCCCCTCTCTTGAACTTTGAATTTGGTTTTATGAACTGAACCATCTTAAGAACTAACCAAATGAAGGGGAAAGTTGTTTTGTTCCATCTCTTGCTCCATTTAATTGATCAAAGTTGAGTTTTTGGAAAACTGGATTGCATAAACTTTTAATCTTTATTGGAAAATAGTGAGATGGGCAGCTCGTATTTTAATCCAGTAATCCATTGAAAGACGATGTTTGTGTGTGCTGATTAAATAGACATACTTCCTGCAGGCTGAAGTCAGGACACAGTAAACCTTTGTTAGTAGTCACTTAGATCCCTCTGATTACACCTTCAGCCACCTGTTTTGTTCCGTCTGCCTTAGTGTGAGGCTTAATCTTCATAATGTACTCCTCCTGTTTTAAATGGTGCACTATCTGATCTCATCCACTTGACTGGAGCTCAGTACCAGACCTTGACATCCAGCTGGTATCAAGCGGACGCCTGTGATGTTCAAGGACATAGAATGAAAACAAATTAAAGTTAAATTTTTGGATTCAGATGACAAAGAGAAGCTGTTGATGTACACTTTCATCATAGAAAAATGTTGCAATAAAGTACATTTCTGGGTGTTTTTATATGTTCATGCACACCTTTACCAATATGTATTTCTTTAGGCTGTGTGGGGAACCCAAAATATTTAGAGAACAATAACTCATAGAAAGGGAGATCATGCAAACACTGTACAGAGTTGGACTTAGGCAACCACAGAAATTTAAATTAAAAAAAAAAATTTCCTAGCCTGGCTAGCTGACTAGAAAAAAAGAAAAGAAATTTAAACGTTACCTCAACCCTAACAATTTGAAACCTGCTTGACAGAATTTTTTTCAAGACACAAATTTACTACCAGCTGATGTTGACAGAGATTATACTATGTTTTTCTTTTCCTCAAGTTTTTTTACTGAGTTGAATACTTAATATTCATGATGTCTGGCAGAATATTTTAAAAGATAGAAAAATTTCAAATTCTGATATTTTTCATCTATACTTCTTTATGTTACAGAACAAGGGAATAATTTTAAATATAATTTATCTTTTAAGGTACAGGGGCAATTAGTGTACAGCTTGCAGTAAAGCAGTTACAC